TCATTTTTCATATTTTATTTATTGTCTGATAAACCTGGATGTATCAATGTTTTCATAACATTTCATAACTTTATTTTGGTGGGAAAAAGTTTGGACCCTGAAAAACTGAGGAGTTCTATTTGAAAAGGTATCATCTTTTTCAAAAAAGCCTCAAGTGTAGTCCCTTAAGTGAATCACTTCTGAAAATGGCTTTCAGGTCTTCATCCACTTTCGTTACTTTAAACAACTTTCCTCACAAATACTCACTCTCACTGGGAAAGCTCTAAGAGGCTCAGTCTGGCTGTAGCCTGTGTTATTAGAGATAAAACTGCAAGCTAAGCTACTTAGGTGTAGCCAGTAAAAGAGTGAAATGTGTTTTTTTTCCTGAAAAAGACATGAATTTACTTGAACTCATACACATGGTTAATTTCCCATTATTCTAGGAAAGTCTTGCTCATGTCTAAAATTTTGATCAAGGTATAAAATGTTACAACGAAAGGATGATTATTCTCACAGACTTTTTTTTGTTCAAACATGTGGCCTTGGTATTTGTATCTTTGAATTTTTTTGATAATAATTTTTTTTTTAATGCTACAACCAAGCTGGTCCATTTTCCAGGCGTTTCCAAGTAATTAAACCCAATTAAAACTATTAAATTCTTTCTTTTGGTGACAACTTTGTTATTAACAGATAACCACAAGGAGGAGATTTAACTTGGAAGGCCCTTGATTGTGCACTAATCCGTCTCTCACCTCTGGCTGACACCTGTGGCAGATAAACCCTATAGAATAGGAGGCTGATGAATACTCTTAATTAATACTTTCTTCCTCGTAGAAAAGTAATTATTTGCTCTCGGCATAAATAGGTAGTTGGCAGGGATTTAAAAGGACTGATTAGTTTTAAATACTAGGGCTTTATTTTGGGGGGTGTTTTAAGGGAGGTGATGGTGTCTGAATCCAAGATCCACGCTCAGAACGACTTTGTCCCAACAATTCCGACGTCGAGTTAATTGTCACGTTGCTGAAGAGAAGCAGAGTCAGACAAGAAGCAGATTTGTTATCTGCCTCAAAGGAGGCAGCTCTGCCCCTGTGCTGATGGCCTGCAAGTCTGAACAGGGCACCTGCGAGGCAGAGGAGCAGGGAGAGGGCTTTGGAGCCAGGCTTGGAGGCAGGAGTGACTTGCACTTGAGAGATTGCCAGAGATAAATCTGCTTCCCTCTTCCTTTCAGAGTTACAGTGTACAGGAAGGGAGAGCTGGCTGTGGACAGGCAGCTTGGATTAGTTGCAGGTGCTAACAAATACACGTCTTTTTTTGTGCATATTCCTGGGCAAGTAGAAGCAGCGTATGAAAAATCAATCTCTGTGTTCCAGGAGATCTGTGGGAAGGTGGTTTTAATGCAGAGCCTTTTGGGGGGGTGCTGGTGGTGCAGTTTGAGTGTGATCAATGCCCAGGGGCTGCTCTGGCAGTGGAGGTGCAGCAGGGAAGGTTTTTGTGCAGCTCCTGGAGAGGGTCTGGGGACCAGCACAGTGCACATTGCAACGTCCTGGCAGCAACCTGCAGCCACGTTAAAGCTAATTTGGGTGTGCTCGCACATTCTCATTCCCTTTGCTCTGCTGAAATACAGACCAGTGGGAGTTTGGTGGGGTGTGAGCAGATCTACCTTCCCACTGCTGTCATAGGGAAATATTTGTTCTTTGCTCACCTCCAGTTTTCATGGAAAACTGAAGGCTGTTCAGCAAGCTCCTTTAGCAGTCTTCTGTCACATTGTTTCTTGAAATGAAGGTTAAAAATGAAAACTGAAACAGACATTAATTTTAGGCAAGGTGGTAGTAGCTCAGAGGACATAAATGAACTCAAATTGTAGTTTTTAAATCACAATACATTTCAAATGTAGAGAACTAGTTTAAGGGTTAGAAACAGTGCATGCGAGTGGCCAAACTAAGAGCAACACTGGCAACAAATGTGTGAGCTTGTGCCACTGGGATATGAAAGAAAACGTGCTCCATGCTAAATGGATGCTTTTGTCTTCCTTTACAGCATGTTCCACAGGCTGCTGCTGCCCGTATTTTCCTCTAGTAGGCATATGTGCAGAACAGGCAGCAAAAGTAGCCCAAAGCAAGTGGCCATGGAGCTGGGAGCTGGCAGTGCCTCACTCACGAGGCGTGGCCACTGTCAGCTGTGAGCAGTAGCCATCAGGCCTGAGCTGAAAGCCTCAGTGATGACAGAAACAGCAGGGACATGTCCAAGGATGCTCTTTAGTGAAAACATTTCTGATCAAAAATGTTGAAAAATTACTTGTTTTTTGGTGTGTTTTGATCACTTGTTGTTTATGAAGCAGTAGGAGGGAATGGGGGCTTTTTTACCTCTTAGTTCCCTCCAGGTGTGCCCTGAGGAGAAATGGGCAACTCTCGAACTGTGACTTGTGCTCTTTAGAAGTGGGAGTGAAGGGTGTATTGAGGAATGAATAATTCAGAATGATCACTTCCCTCCTGATGCTTGTCTCCCCCAAGCTGCCATGGGAGGATCAGGAATGCTTGATCTGCCATGTCTGAACACCAGGACTTTGCACTAGAAGTAATTTGTGGGGCTGTTTAATTTTGACCCTGAAGGAAACTCCACCAATGGAGCATGGTAGAGATGAGGCATGTGGGGATACACTGTGCTGCTGGAAGTTTTATTTACAAAAGGAGTTTATTGCCTGTTTTGCACCCCTGCCTCTCATTGTCCTTGTTTGTGAAAGCATGACTTGTAGATTAGCAGAGGGAGGACCTCGCTCTTCTAAAGTTACTAAACAAGCACTGAGGGTTGAGTTTTTAGATTAATCTGTTTTCACTGCAAAAAGTGGTTCCTGGAGGAGATTTGATTTCAAGCTGTCTGTGGTCCTTGGGCTTCACATGCATCAGGAAGCATGGGCTGGATGTGTTAGGCAGGAAACTCCTTCCCAGGGCTCCTGGGCACACTTTTCCTACAGAAGGGCATTAGCAGGGATCACTGAGAACTTTACATTGCTCTGCTGAGCTCACACTGCTCCAGCACAGACACTCACAGCCCACCAGGGCACCACTGGCAGCAGAGGGATGATCTTGAGTGGCACAGAGTGCCTAGGAAGAGAATTCCATAAACATCTTCAAATTGTATAGTCCTCTTTCTGATTATTTACACACTGTACAGAGAATTTGGATATACCAATCTCATTTTGGTGCTTCTCTCAGCCTGATTTTGCTGTTTATTCCTACTTGAATTGACAGCTGTAGCAGCTGTGTCTTTCCTCAGGGTGGGTACAACCTCAGGCACAGTGGGGTTTAAGTCTGGGACTAGTGCTTCTGGATGCTCCAGAAATGCAAATAAATAACTGCTGGAGGAACCCTGGCCTCGTGCCTCTGGACACCTCTGTCATACTGGGAGTGCTGGTTGGCCTTATAACTTTATCAGCCTCTTTAAGACTTGGAAGAGTGCCTTGCTGTGGAGGAAATCTCCATACTGTGGAAGCTGTGGTGCCAAATCGTTTCCCCAAACAACTTCCCCTTTGGGTGGTAAAGTGCATTTTTCTGTTTTGTTTTCATTCCATCATATTCTGTATCTCAGGAGAAAGATTTTTTTTTCCACCCCCCCTCTCATCCACAGTTTGGTTTCCATATTGTTTAGTTAAAGAGAAGGTAACTTCATACACTGTGGAAATGTTTCTTACTCCCCATTAGTGATTAATACCAATAAAGCTAAAATGAAACTTAGAGGATAAATGACAGATAGCAACCAATGAGATTTCCTGAAAGAGTTTTAAAGGCTAATGATCCTTGAAATGTATAAAAATAAATTGCTTCATTAAAAACCATTTTACAAAATAATTTCTTCCTAGCAGCATATTTTCTTCAAAACAGTTCCCCCGTGTAACTACACCTGGGTAGTAAAATTTGATTCAGTGCTGTTCCTATGGGGCCACAGTGAAATGCCCTGATTAGACCTGTGTCCCTGAGCCTCATCAGGGAAACAGGTTTGGGGCTGAAAAGGAGAGACATGTTCAAGGCAGGTCTGCTGAAGTTTTTACTTTTTGCCCAGAGACAGTTCCCTTGTTTCTGGGACAGCAGCAAGAACGTTTAAGTGTGAGTGACAGTGTCTGTGATGGGCACGGTGCTTGTGAGTCACACACATGGCTGAAACCACAGCCATTCTGCTCTAATTAAAGAGAACTGCACTGAGAATGGGTAATAATTAGCTTGGTGTGTAGAACACCATCCATGTCAGCAGTGTCTGCCACAAAGGTTGATTGAAATGTGCTCACCCTCCCAGCATTGTGCTCCCTGCTAGAGCTCCTCAGTCAATTCATTGCTGTCCTGTCATACCATAACAGCACTCCACAGAAATCTGCAGAAAATTACAGCAGAGACTCTTTAAGTGGGTGAATTTCCTCTGCCGAAGTCACACACCATGCTAAAACAAGGCAGATTTATACATCAACACGAGATGCCTGACCTACTGAAGATGAATTAACAACGAAAAGAAAATTCTGTTGTGGGAATGTGGGCTTTTCCCAAGTTGTCTGTTGTTCAGTTTGAACAGGCACGATGCTTTTGTGCTATGACTGTTTATCAAATTAAATACAGATAATTTTTGCTTGCGCTTTTTAAGTATTTAATGAATAAGAAAATGCACTGCTGGTAACTTTGTTTGCACTGATTATGCTATTGGAAATCAGATTTTTGTCCAACCTATTGAAGCAATTCTTACATAGTTTCAGGTGTTTAAAGAATCTTTATATCATCTGAAGTGTGTGGGCTGTTAGTGGTCAGGGTGAGTCACAGACATCCTGCAAAGAACAGAATTTGTTTATCGAGGAGAGCAAAAGAAAGGATGGAAAAATCATATTAATGTTAAAATACACTTGGGAGGTAAAATTGCTTTAATAAATGTATCTTAAGAACTAAGAATGTGTAGATCCTGAGTTTGGTCTAAGACCTCCCACCTATCCCCAAAAAAGAAAATCAAAGTGAATGGAAAAAAACCCCCTGATTTTCCCCTGCCAGGACACCACAACATCTGTGCGGATAGGACTCATGATGGAAGAAATGATCTTCAACCTTGCAGATACACATCTCTTCTTCAATGACCTGGAGGTATGGAGCTGCTTATTTTATTTAACATGTTTCTCTGTAATCATTTCCATGTGGTCAACAAACTTGGGGGGGTTTGGCCAAGAAACTTTTTATTTTTGACCCCAGAGAAATGGTTGACTTACTGGAAGCATCCCTTTGACACCTCCATTGTGTTCAGGAATTTTCTTTCTGAATACTCAGTTAGCAATGAATCAATGATGGCTTTTTGCAGGTTTACTAAATGTAATAATGAGGACATTGCTGCTGCTTCACCTGAAATTTGCTATGTAATAATTTTATTAAGCTAAATTGGCAGAGATCCTATGGGGGCAGGCAGCAATTAGCTATGAGCCAAAGCAGAGGTTTTGAAAATGTTGCTCTGTTCTCGAGGAAGGTTTTGCACAGACAGAGCAGGAGGTTTGCTCAAGCTCAGGAATACTGCAGGATGAAACTCTGGGAGTTCCAATGTGACAACCAAGAGGAAGAATTTTCCTGCTGGTGACATGGTTAGACCTGACTGTCTCTCATACAAAGCAAAAATCCTTTTGGGTGTGTGGTAAAAGGCAGCCAAGTGATGCTGGCAGGATGCTGAGGAGCAGCTGTACAGCAGTGATGAAAATGTGTTGGCATTTGCAGTCAGAGCTCTCAGTGTGAATGGATCATGTACAGAGTGATAAGGTGGGGTTTGTGCTCTGGGCACCTTGGAATCAAAACACTGCTGGGAGGCATTTGGAGAAGAAAAAACCTGGCATCCCTGGGCAGACTTCTATGGCCTTTTTTTTTTTTTTTTTTTCCCTTCACTTGAAAAAGGAAGAATTTGTTTCTGTGCCAGATGAAAGGAGAGAACTTTTTCTGTTCCTGAGGAGTTCAGCGGGAATTTCTGGTTCCTTCAGTGCTTGATTGCACTGTGGTCCCCTGTGTTAGGGGAGGCACAGCCTTTCCTGCCACCTGGCTCCTTGCAGTCTTGAGCTTTCACTTGCTGAAAATTTTTATTTCCTTTCAAAGACAAGCACCTGAACCGACAGATTTTTCCTCTTTCAACTTTTTTCGTAGAGAGAGTTTGTGATGAAGGCATGGAAAGTATAAAGAAAAATCTTTCTCTTAGAGAAAAAAATAGAGAGAGCTCCTCTTTGGGAGCCCAGGGCATTATTTAAGTAGTGGTAATACTTATTACAGAACCATCACTTTCACCCATCACATCTCAATATGTGATGCAACAAAGCTTCATGTCCTGCACAGTGACCCTCCAAAACCCATCTGCCTTTCTAGACTTCTGCAAGAATTACCAGTTTTAAAATAAGTTTTCTCCTTTTTTTCACTTAAAAATAAGTTTTCTCATTTTTTCACTTACTGCTCCAAAATTTTAAATGAAGCAGCAAATTGTCTGGCCTTCATCAAATCGTGCACATTTGTCAGTCAGTAACAGCTCTGGGCACTGGTGGTTTGGTTTTAGCTGAGCTTTTTCAATGCAAAAATTGATGGATGATGGAGAATTAAAGAAAAGTAAATGTGCCTTACAGAATTTTTCTTTCCAAAAAAGCCATGTCAGTTTGGAAGAATTTGCAGCAACAGTCATCCAGAGTTACCCACCCTACTGCTTCATTTAGGATGATAAATAAAAGTCACCTTTGTGTATTCACAGTGGTATTTAAGGATCATACATCACTGAGTACTGGGCTTTAAAAAATGCAGTGTATGACATCCTTAAAAATTAAAAAAAAAAAAAGAATTTGTAAGAAACAGCATGTGAACAGATTCAGTTGTAGAGCAGAAGCATTACCATATACATTAGCACCATCATGTGGTGCAATGCTGGCCTGAACAAGACAAAATGAGCTAAAACTGCACAGTGCAGAAACCATTTCTGACCATCCTCTGTGCTGGGGCAGAGTGTGAGGGGCTGGAGCTGAGACAGCAGGGCCAGAGCTGCCCACTGGAAACCAAAGCAGGAGTTCTTCAAACACAGCAAAATGTTCCTCTGACACAAATCAGGGTTCAGCAGACTGGACTAACCTCAGTCCTGACAGTGGAGTGAGGGGAAGAGTGGAGAAAATGTCACCCCTCCTTTCCAGAGAGGCAGGTTGGACAAGGAAATAAATTCCCTTGCTTTAGCACAGGGAAATTGTGCTAAATTTATTTTGTGATTGATTCTGCTGGCTGCAGTTTGCAGTGTTGTGCAGAGGAGAAGGTGCTGCCAGGGTGCAAAGCCCATCTGAAGCATTCCCAGGAAGTGCCTGATGAGGACAAAACATTTGTCCATAGATACAGCAAGGTTTGCAAGGTTTGCACAGCCCTTGGTGGCATTTGTGTGATCCTCCTTAGTTTGGTGAGGATGTGATGTCACATCATAGCAAAAAACTGGCTTCAAAATCTGAGAGATGATTGCTGTCCAAAAAAAAAAAAAAAAGGATTCTGTAACTCTGGTTAGCCAGGGCTTTATCTTTTCTCAGGATCTGCCCAGAAGGGATTCAGGTAATTGTTTCCTGGATGCGTTAGCTGAATGCATTTTGGCTATGCAGTTCCATTCAGATGGATCTATTCAGATCCATCCTGCTTCAGCACATCCTGTCTCAGTGCTGCAGGCCAGCAGACAGGCCAGGTTCCAGCTGATTGACCCCAAACCTCGGGGTGGCTGAGTGGAAGGAGCCTGATCACTGCTCCCCAGGGCAGGGGGTGACTGTAGAAGTCTTAGGCTCCTACTAAAAACTTTCAGTGTTTTTACAGAAAGGGATTCTCTGTCAGCAAGTCTTACAGGCAGATGAAATCCCTACAGGCTGCAAGTGTGAGCCAGGCAAGGTGCAGAATATATCAGCAAATATTCATCTGACAGAAGATATTTTCCCTTTCTGCTCCGCTTTTTAGGGGAATCAGGGAGAAAAGAAGTTACCAAAGGTTACAAGTCACAGTGAAGTTAAAATACAGACTCTGGGTTTTCCAGGGTTGTGCTTCTTTTCCCCAGCTGCCTTTTGTTCACAGTACAATGCTGGCTAAAGAATAGCACCTTCCACCCCCAATCCCTCTGGAGATATTATTGTCTAGCTTTCTGGAAAACAGGTATTAAGGACAGGAGGACAGACAAGGGCATGAGGAATTAACAAACAAGGGGATTAGTGTGTTTACTCCTTTTGGAGCCATCCCTGGAGGTTTTGTGCTCTGGGAGCTGTTAGCCCGCACCCAGTGAGGGATGCAAGCTCCACTGCTCAGTGAATCCATGCGATGGTTAAAATTCTTTATTTGATCCACAAACAGACTGTGTGTGCCTTGTAAGTTGTTTCCGTACCTGCACGGGACATACCTTGAGAGCAGGCAGAGGGATGTGAGGGGTAACAGAAGGAGCTCTCAGGAGCCCTGATTTCACAGGGAGGCAGCAGAGGCTTTCTCCAAGCCAGCAGTGCCATTTAAATCAGCTCAGGCTCCTCTGAACGTGGCTGCTCCCACCTGGAGGCACGTTGTGGACACACAGAGATATCCCAAGAGTAAAACCAGATCAGTGCCCAGAGCTGCAAGGGCTGGCTGAGGTTTTACACGTTTAACTGAGGTGCAGGCTGCGTGTGCCACACACCGCCCCGACATCCCAGTGTCTCCGCTTAAAAACCAGCAGATGTGACACCGGGGCCGTGTCCCCATCACAGCCTTCCTGCCCTTCCAGCCCCCTCCTCCTCAGCAGCCAGGGCATCCTGCTTTGGTTCCCCACTCCGTGAGGTTCCAGGGAGATCCTGCAGGAGTGAGGGATGATTTTTGTGAGGCAGTGGTGGAAGGTGGTGCCCGTGTGGCTGCGGCAGCTCCGAGCTCCCCGTAACACGAGAGCGCAGCCGGCGCTATGAGGTAGCGTCTCAGCCTGTGTCAGGGTGTTTTATTAACTCAGAAATGTGATAGCTGCTCTTGTCACACTGCAGTGTACAGAACAATCCATTCACAAATGAGAAAAACAGATCCCTCCACAAATGCCTTTCCCCTGACTTCATGGCCCGTGCTGTACAGCTGGAGGGGAGTGGGCTGCACCAGCGTGACCCCAGCGCGGTTCACAGCAGCTACTGGGAGGGGGCTTAAAACGCTGGGGTGGGAGGAGAGAGGTGCCAGCAGAGATCTGCTATTCAGCTGCTGGGCCGCAATTATATACAGCAATATATAACATATATTATATACAGCAGTATGCACTCCAGTGATGGGTTGATAAGAGAGCTGATGAGATGAGAACGAGATGCAATTGTGTGTCTTTTTGAGAATTATCTAAAATTGTGCAGAAAATCTCATTAATATGGACAAGAACTATCTGTCATGTTTTGCCATTGACAACAAGTTTGGTTACTTGTTTGGGGATTTTTTTTTTTCATTTTTTGAAAGGGGCTACTCATCATTGTCTAAAGAAGGTAAAACAAATTCTGTGGTTTACAGAACACTGAAGTGGTGAAGAATTACTGCACCTTGGTTAGCTGCAGTTGTTCTGACTGCAGAGTCCTATGGTACCAAGTGTCACAGCTTTTAAACTCTGTTGGAAAATCGACCAAAACAAAAGATAGTGTTCATCAGCTTGCAGGCTTTCTGTTCTGCTCTCACCTGTAAGACTCATGGAGAAAGGAGAGTTAAGGTGGTAGGGGGAACTTCCCAGTTTTTCTCTTTCTAATCTTAATGCTGAGACTGGGAAAGAAACCAAAGGAATAACATTTCTCACATTTTTGAGGCAGGGCCTCCACCATTTGAACAATGAAGAATTTTGGAAGATAAGATCTCGAGCACATACTTCATGCAGGCTGAGCTCCAAGTGTATATTCTGGTTAAATTTCCTGCGCACAGATTTCCTCATTACTGACACACATTACTCCTCTGCTCAGTCTGTGGCTGGGGCAGTGGAAGTGTTGCCTTCAGTGCTTCAGCCCAGCTTCCCTGCACATCAAAGGCAGCTCAGCCCCCTCAGAACAATCTGGGAAAACACGGGCAGGACAGGCGTCTCCGGGAATCCCTGTGGGATACATCTTCTCCCCCTGTAATTATGTGGGCATACACCTCCTGTCCAAAGCAGTATTCTCACAGGGGGAAAGGCTGCCAAGTCTCTGCCTTATCATGCATACAGAGTAGAAAAAGCACAGCTTTCCTGGCTAAAACACAAGCATCTCTCTCTCTCTTGTCTGCATAGGAAGGAGTTCCACTCACTGTCTTATTCAAGAGCTGTTGTGCCCTTAGATAACAGCAGATCTCACACACATTCTCTGTCCATATTTTGTGCAAGTTCTGTGTGATACTTGTTGCTAACAATTACCTGGCCAGACTACAATACTAGCAAATTGTAAGATTTTATCTCCTTAATATTATACTTAAAGTAATTTTGCATTATATTATTTCAAACTTTTTTTCCACAACATTTACTCATTACTGTATTATTTTTTTTTCATCTCAGGACTGCGACCAGATCCACATAGATGATGTATCATCAGATGACAATGGTCAGGATCTGAGGTATGAGGTCTCCCAAGCTGGAAGCTGCAGGACAGGCAGTCCCCAGCCATGTGGAAATAGCAGGGGGCTGGTCAGAGATTCTCAAACCTGCACTGTCTCCCCTGCTGGCTCCATGCAGTCTGCATTTATCAAGCACACACAAGTACAGAGTCCCTTCTCTCACAGGATTGTGCCTGTGCCTTCTGTCAGGCCTGACTATGCTGAGCTTTGAACCATTCTGGGACATACATCTACATTAGACTCAACTCCAGTCAGACCACACCAGTTTCTGATATGATTTAACCAGACAATTGTAACAGCTGCTGCCAAAATGCTTCAAAACCAGACTGAAAGGTTTCCCACAGTCCAGTCTGTAGTGAATGGGCTTAGTAGTGAGCAGTTGGACTTTACCATGCCAGATCCTTGTTGAAACTTGTACCCAAAGTGCACAAACATTACCATTACCTGTGTAAGCTGGGTCATCATAGCAACTACTTCTGTACAATTCCATCTGCTTTTCCCAAAGTGTTGCCTGCAGAGCCATGTAAAAGGAAAAGAATGACATGTGCAGAACTCATACAGAGCTTTGCAATTTGTGGTTTTATGGATGATTATTGTGAGAAATTGCTGCAGGAACAGAACATTTTTTAGATCTGTGCTAGTAATTGTGCTGAAGATGAACTTCAGTTCTGTACAGCGTGTCCTGTGTGTGTCTCTGCTGCCACTTGTCTCCACATTTGTTTTCAATGGTTTCCCCTCCCTGCTGGCACTGTGCAGGCTGTCATTGCACTGACCTGTCCCCTTGCCTCCTCCCTCTCTCCCAGCACCTATAACTTCTCTGCGGATGGCTTCCACAGTTCCAGTGCCAGTGCAAACCTGTGCCTGGGCTCGGGGGTTCACGGGGGAGTTGACTGGATGAGGAAATTGGCGTTCCGCTACCGCCGGGTCAAAGAGATGTACAACACCTACAAAAACAATGTGGGGGGTAAGTGCCAGGCCACCAGCAGGCCTTTCATCTTCCCAAAAACTGGACACCCTCTAGGGCCATCTCTGGAGGAGGTGTAGGGAGCCTCATGATGTGAGTGAGCTGAGCAAGTGCCTCTGCAGTCACCCTGAAATGTGGTTCTGTACAGGATTTGTGGGAGGCACACTAAAATACCTGGTTTAGTGGTTTGAGAAAGTCCAAGTGTGGGGCTTTATTTTTTAATTTATTTGGCAGGGAAGCAACCTTCTCCAGTTTTCCAGAATGTTCAGCAGGCAAGCAAACAGTTCAGAACTAAATATTTTTTTTTACACAGCGTGTCTGAAGGCTTTCTTGTATTATAACTTCTTGTTTTTAATTCCCCCAAAACAATACCACCAGATACCAGGATTCTCTGGGTTCCTTCATCTCACCTAGTTCAGACAGGTCTTCCAAGAGACTCTCAGCTTCCTTTTCAGTACATCAGTGCAGGTTTCCCTCTGACTAGAAAAAGAAAGAAGCAAAACTCAAAGCATCACCACAACATATTTATTGGTTGGAGGACAAGACTACCCTGCATGCACTGGAAATGGGGATGGCTTTTCAGGAGAAACAAAACCATCCTGGCCTCAGGTGTCTCTCTGCCCAGGTCTCTGCCCACTGGACACTGCTCTTCCATTTTCTTGCTCACTTCCCTTGCAAGCTTTATGCTCACTCCAAGAAAGGTGTTCCAAGGAGGTCCTGCCTTGTGTCCTTGACTGCACCATTCCACCAGAGGGGAAGGAAGCTGAGCTGCAGCAGCAGAGGATTGTGCTGCAGTTGGAGTGACATGGCAGTGACAAAGGGAGGCAGTGGCACCAGGGCCAAGAGAGGGGCAGTGGGAGAGCTCAGAACACAGGCAGGTGCCTTTGGCATTGTGCAGACAAAGCCAGGCAAATCCCTTTGTGTGCTCCTGCAAAGACACTTTCGCTGCTTGCAGGTTTAATAGGAGCTCCTAAGAGGGAGACCTGGCTGCAGCTGAGGGCAGAACTGGAAGCTCTGACTGATCTCTGGCTCACACATGCCCTGAAGGCGCTGAATTTGATACATTCCCGGTAAGAACAGCTCCAAGAATTGCCTGTGGGTTTGGTCCAGGAGCTCCTTTGCTTCCCTTGTTTTTCCCCTCTGAACAAATCAGGACACGTTTACAGGGCTTTGCTGGCCAAGCCTGTGGGTCTGCACAGTTTGCCAGGCTGAATTGTCAAGGCTTGGGGTGAGCCTGGCATGGTGAGCTGAGCAAAAGCAAAGCAGATCTTTCTTTTCCTTGCCTTTCCTCGGCTCCCTCATCCATGGCACCACTTTCATGAGCAGCTTTACAAAAGAGGAGAGGGAGGGAAGAGCCCTCCTGTCCCTGAACACGTTCACTCCCAGAACCCAGCATGGACATCTCCACATTGTGTTGAAATTCCCACCAAAGAGATCCTGGCAAGCTGGCAGTAAGGCTGCATCACTGCTGCTGGTTTGGTTTCTGTTTTTTTCATTCTACTGAGCTGCTCAAAAGACATTTCTGGTGCTCACATTATCTTCCTCTGGCTGCAAAGGAAGGAAAGGTTTGCTTCCTACCATCTTTCAGTCCAGGGTGAAAGAGAGAAACCCAGATTTCTAATAATTTCTGTTTCCTAGGCCTAACTGTGTGAATGTGTTGGTCACCACAACTCAGCTTATACCAGCTCTGGCTAAAGTGCTTCTCTATGGACTGGGCACTGTCTTCCCCATTGAAAACATTTACAGTGCAACAAAAACAGGTAAGAGCAAACTGACTGAGGCCTCACCTAAGCCAGGCTGAAGTTTTGTCCCTAAGTCATGCAGTGAGTGAGCTTTATTTTTAGCTCCTTACTTACAGATGTCTAATTCACATCCTGACTCCCACACTTAACCTAGTACAGACTGCAGGGAAAAAAAAGTCTGACAATCACTTCTCAAATGTCTTCATGGGGAAGTGAGCCAGATCTATAGAAATATATCCACCCTGTGGAGCACTGGCTGCTCGTGGGATGTCCAGCTGCACCCAGCTGGAAGGAAAGTCTGCTTGGACCTGGTACAGAAACACTCTGCATCCTCTTAGCCTTGCAGAGGGGTCAAGTGTGCTGAATGAGCTTTGTGAAGCTTTGTGACTTACAACTACTGGTAGGGTTGGCTTGGGGCTTTTTTGTATTCTGTTCTTTCTGGTGTATTTGAACCTCTGAGGATTGCATTTTCATGTTTTACTGCACCCAGAATGAAGAGAAGAGGCCTCTGGAAACTGAATGCCATGAGTGTCACATCAGCCTGCCAGCTGGTGGCCTAAGCAAGGCATCACAGTCACAAAGCTCACAGAAAACTGGCAGCACTTGCAAGTCCTTGGCTGACAAAACAAGTGCTAATAACTGTCATGAGATGGAGAGGATCTGCCTCAAAAGATTTTTTGAAAAGAAAATAAAGAATGTTGCAGCCAGTTCAGTTAGGGGAGAATTTCAGGTCCTGTGCCTCCATATTAGCTCTGCCTGTGGTGTGTGTCCAGATAAAAAAATGTCTCTTCTCTTGTGTTGCTCAGGGAAAGAGAGCTGTTTTGAAAGAATAATGCAGAGGTTTGGAAGGAAAGCCGTGTACATTGTAATAGGAGACGGTGTTGAAGAGGAACAGGGAGCAAAAAAGGTACAGTTTGTGGATGCCATGCTGGATTCTTCCAAGTTTTGATTGCAATGACCCTTTCTTAATTTAAGCATTTAATGAGGCTCCCTCCATTTGAAACAGCTTACAGTTGGTCTCATTTCTTAATATGCAAAATCAACAATCATCTTGTCAGAAATTCCATACTCTAAATCCCCTCCACTTTGGCAGCTGGTACAATATTTCAGGTAGTTGGTGTGTCACATGTTCCAGGAATCATTCTTGCTTAATAAAGATGGCTATAAAGACATGAAAAGGGAAATTCCAGTGTGTGATCTCAGATGAGCAGGCAGAGTGAATTTTTGTTCTCACATGCTGCTTTTGTAAATTCTAAATTGTTGGAATTAATTTTGAATTAATTACTAGAATACGCCTATATCCATACATGTGTTTGTATTTATGACTCATTGAGATCATGGAGTGTAACTTCATTATAGCAAATACCAAAGGAACTTTTACAGTGTTGCTGCCTTTACCAGTGACTTCTGGATCAATGTGATTAATTTCACAAGCAAAATGAAATTAGAAAATTGACTGAAGGCAAAGAACAGAAACGGCAAAAGCAGTGTGATCAGGAATAATGAGAATTGGAACAGCCAAAGTTTTCATTTCCTAAACTTTAGAACAGAACAGTCCCTGCCTGGAACTTCCATTTATTTGGCTTTACAGGGCCAGGAATACAATTTATTAATGGCAAACATTATTTACAAGATGCCTCTGTGCATCCTGGGTTTTGTGCTGCTGATGTGACTGGAGAAATGTGATAGAGCTGCCTTTGCTCCAGGAGCATTGCACACGGGTTGAGATGCAGGAACTGGCTGAATGAGCTCCATCTTCAGCTAACTTTAATTTTTAACAGATACACAAATGACTGGTGTAGCTCAGGTGATGTTGAAATATTAGATCTCAAGAACTCAGCTGAACCTTGTGCTGGAGGACCTAGTGTCTCATTCTGACTGAAGATCTTGCAAAGACATTCCAAGCAAATTTGAGCTCTTTGGTTGCACAAGCCCAGGAACAAAGGGATCCCAGCAAATTAATTAGGTGGGGGGTACATGTTCTGTCCCCAGAACTGTATCTCAGGTAATCTGCAAAGCAGCAGAAACTCTTGTTTTTTATAGTGTATTTTTCCTGGCCAGTGGAAGCAACAATATCTACACCCACCTTAGAAAACTACCTAAACCTGCAGATGGTTTTGTAGCTCATGAAGGGTTAAGGAGCTGTCAGGAAGAGTCCAAAATGCTTGACTGGGGCTGAAGTGACAATGGCCTGCTGCTTGTGGCACACTTCAAAGGCAGTGGGTCAGTGAACAGAAGAGCATCAAAGGCTGCATGGGGAGCTGGGCAGGTTCAGCAATCTCCTCTGCTGGGGTTTCAGCAGCCTCCTGTCCCCTGCCTAAGCAGCTCAGCCATTAGTAGAGCACATTCTTTGCTGGGCTGTCGCCTCCTTTGATTGATGACAATCATTAATCAAACCTTCTGCACACCTGAGCTTTATACAGAAAAAAAAATAAGGAGGGCACAGGGAGAGAGAGCCTTTTGCTGTTTTGCTGACAGCACTGATAACATCTCCAGTTTTGTGGGTCATTTTTCTTCACCTGTCTGATGAGTGATAAATCTGTAACTGCTGAACAACAGGAGTGGCTGGGAGGCCAAGTTTTCTTCTGGTTTAAGAAAGAAAAACAGATAATTTAATGGAAAGAGTTTAATAGAAACTAGGGGAGGGGGAAGGAAATAACTTTTCCCCTTAAAGTGAAATTGCAGGGCAGTGTATTTCAGTCTCTTCAGCTGTCTGGGTTTGCTTGCTGTCTCTACACACACTGATAAACAGCTCAAAGAAAACATCTGTTTACCGGCAGGCAACAGGCAACATACCAGAGAGAAGCATTAGTTGTCTTTAAAGGTTAGAGGAGTGTAAATAGACACTCTGTAACATAAACATCTAGAACCACTGGAGTTTTTGTACACAGGTAGGTACAATTGGAAAAGGAATATTTCCTTTCAATCTCTCTGGGAAGTGTATGCTCTCTGAAGCTTTGTTGAAGCTGTTTATGCAGGAGCAGGGTGGTTACAGGTGAATTCCTGCAGGGATAAAAGATTCTCTGCAGCATTATGCCCGTGCTGGAGGGACTAAGTGCTGTCAGCTTAGGCTTTCTGTACATTCAATACTACAAATGTATTACTGACTGTGCAGAGACTGACATTTTGGGAGAAAGCAAAGAAAATCAGAGTCCCCACTGTTACAAAATCACAGAAAGGAGCTGTGTCCTTGATTAAACTGCTTTAACAGTTTTGGAGAAGAAACAAATCCAGTGCAAACCCCAGGCTCACCAGAACACACACAGAAAAACCTGTATTTAACATGTAATGTTCTAATTATTTTGAGATTCTCTGCGTGCAGGCAGCCAGGGGGATCACAGCTATTGCTAAGGAGCTCTGCTGTTCAGGGATGCTTTCAGGGCACTCTGGTGACAGGTAACATTCCAGGTCCCCAATGAAACTGAACTGCACTTGTTTCACAGCAGTTAAAAAGTTGACACTTTGTCCTCTTTCAGCTGCAAGTCTTGTTTTCCTACAGTATATTCACAACTTTTAGGAGAATGATCAGGATATTGTAAAGAAGATAGAGTGAGTCACAGGTAGCTGACCTTCCAGATTTTGTCCAGATGCTCAGATTTCAAGTGGAACAGGCTGGTTAAAATTTGGACATGTGTGTACAGGGCTTCAGATTTATCACAGCAAATACCAATTCAAAAACAGGGAGGCAGAACAGTAATTTAAGATGATCTCCCATAAAGGGAATTAGGATCGGGTTTTTTGGGACAGGCTGTTTTATAAGCCTATTGCATCTTCCCCTGAGGCAAGTGTTACATTAAATGAATAATTGACCTGAGCAATGATACCAGTTCCTACATTTACAGAAAATGCAGTGTGACCTACTGTTCCAGTTAATTGGGAAGGTGAATTGTTAGAAAGCATTTTGATTGTGTGGCATTTTATCCCTTTATTTACATTTTTATGAATTTTAGTAACTTCCTTTTCCAACAGATAGATTTGATTTACTTGTCTGTGAATCACTGATAACAGCTTTCACTACTGATGTTTGCTTAAAACTGTTTTTAGTAATATTGCAATTCTAGAAACATTCTTAATTAATTTGTGGGGGGGAAAAAAATTGGAGCAAAAATTGCAGCCCACATACTCCTAAATTGTGAAGGGTGTGCTTCCTGTCTGCATAGGAGAGACAGATGAACAAAGAGACATTTCCCACTTTGTCCCTTCCTCCCTTCTCCCTAAGATGAGCCTCCTTGCCTCTGGCACTGTGACAAGTACCTGGTGGCCAAGCACAAAACTCTGTTCCTGAGGGTACAAGCTAAGAAAGTTGTTTTGATCTCAGCGTTATACAAAAACAGAAAAAAAAATTGCACTCTTTTGGTTTCACTCTAGCACAACATGCCCTTCTGGAGAATCTCTTGTCACGCTGACCTGGAAGCTCTTCGGCACGCCTTGGAACTTGAATATTTGTAGCAGATCCCAACATCTTAGCACTGGGAGGGCTTCACTCAGACTCTTACATCGGTTCCACCTATTCCTCAATGTTTTCTTAGTAAAAAAAAAAAAAATCCCACAGCAACTGCAGTTTTTCTTTTTTTTGAAGGAGAACCCTTTCAGTGGAAGCCTTTAAGAACTTGCAGCCAAAGAATATTGTCTCAAGTCCTCCTTCCTTTGGACAGAGGAAAATCCTCCTGATCAGTCGCTGGGATGCTGCAGTTGCTGGCTAAGGTGGAGACACAGAGCTCTAATGGCCTTTTTGCCATCAACAAGGCAAATGCTTCAAGTCTGGGTATCCCTGTCAGCGTTCTTGGTTTTGAAAGGAGAAGAGGACACAGCAAGGAGTCTCTGCACAATCCATCACATCACACAGGACCTTCTGAAAATAGGAGTCAAACTGTTGATTTTTTTTTTTTTGGTCGTTGTTTTGGGGTTGTTTGTTTTGTTTTAATTTTTTAAATTTTTTTTCTTTAATTTATGAACTAATCTCATTACTCTGGTATTAAGCTCTGTACCTGTGGTTTCCATCTGGCTTTTGCGGGGTGGGGGGGTGGGGAAAGTCTTACTGTTCTAAATTAATAGTTCATTTCTCCAGAACAAACTCTGGGGAGAATCATATTGTGTACATGAGTAGTAAGGACACACGGAACTGCTGGTAAGAACTGTAGCTGTGTTTTTGAGCTTTACCAAGATGGTTCATGGACTGTGCCTGTGTCTACACGGTGCCTTATGCTGCCGTCTTGGGGCTGAGGATGGGAAAAAGTACTTTGTGATGAGTGAAAGGCATTAAATAAAAACATGTTTACATTTTGGGGGACTGGAGTACCTGCCTTCTCTCCCACCACTCTTGGATATAAAGGTAGGATGTGGAATGTGTGCTCCTGTTTTAAGGCTGGACTGGTAATGTTGCTGTCAAAATATTTAAATTCTCTGGGCCTGGGTGGATCTCTTGGTTTGAAAATGGCTGATGGTTCTCGCTGTGGCACCAGGTAAGGTCAGAAGGATCAGAGCCCCTCTGGAAGGAGGGGTTTTGAGATGCAGCAAGTGCTACAACCTCCACCTCAAAGGATTACACAAGTGCCACACACACGTGAAGGATACTCCTAACCTCTAAAAACATTTAGAGAAAACAGTGCTAGATCTGAGAGGGGATTTTCTGCCAAGCTAAAGCAGAAAATCTGATCTCAATCAATGCAAGGCAGCAGCCCCACAGCAGCTGTGATAGATCAGCATGACCAAGCCCAGCCTTTCAGTACATGCTGCTCTCTGGGCTTAGCACAACTCCGTGCAAAATGTCACTTTTGTAGCACAGGCATTGCCGGTCTCAGGGCTTGCTGAGCAAAACTTTTTTCCTCAAGGTTTCCCTGCTCTAAGAATGGTTTCCTTCACTTGTGATATAACTTTCTGTTTGTGACAAAGTCAGTGGAGAATTGACTAATGCTTGCAAGGTAAGTGCTCTGGTAAATACACTTTTGAAAGAGGAATAAATACCAGGGACTGCAGATTCCCAGAGAAGCACAACTTCAGCTTCTAATACCCCATCAATTAGCTAATTGATCTTCCTTAAAATTCCAAATTTAACACCTGACTTAGACAACTGACTCGACTGAGCACTGATTCTGTTTTTTTTCTTAGATTCTTGGAAGCTGTTGCTTTCAGAATATATTTAAAGGTTTGAAAGCTCTTGGTTTTGTTGCTGACCTCCATAGCAGAGCTTTGGGCAGGACACACCAAGGGTCAGACAGGTGACTTCTTCAGGTGACACCTTCACAGGTAACACCATGGCACATTCATCTCTCAGTGCAGAAAGAGTATCAGGATTTACTGTTCCAGGCAATTTATCATGGATAAAAGAGGGGATCTACAGCAGTTTTGTGCTTAGGAACATCCAAAAGGCCTGGGAACATGCACAGACATATGGACAGGTCTTGCTTAGTTCCTTCACCTGTAGTTAGATCTATTTCTGCATTTTCTACATATTTTACTAGGATTTGGTCACCTGTTATTTTAGAGGAGGAAAGAAAACATATCTTTTCTAGGAAAAAAACATGTTCATTAATTAAAAAAAAAACTTCCACAGGCTGGAACAGGTGTCAGAAAGCAGTGGGGTTTCTTACAATTTGTACCTCACTTTCCTCTAACACAAGGCCTCGTTTCAGCATCCAAATTCCATGGGGAAGGCCAAAACATCATTTCAAACTTTCCAGTTTTGTGCTTTTCTGTAAACAGTAGCACTGGGAACATTTGTAAACTATGGTTTACAAATGTACAGAACAAAGTAACTGCAGGAGCAGGAACTTCAGACAATATTCACAGATTTTTACAGTGTTTCATAAGCTCCCTGTTTCTTTTAACTTATAATTAACACACACACAGAAGTCTTGCCCAATTCATGCCCTCTTGAGGGGCTACAACTGCACCCAGAGGCCCCATTTCTAACCCACAAATACACATAACACTGACATGTATCCATCCAACCAAAGAATAAATGTTACACAGCATCAGACTGGACAGGCTTGGATGCAAAAGTCCCAGACTTCTGAGACAGAGGATGCCAACGTAAGTGACATTACCTGTGATCTGGAGACTGTGCAAAAATGAACATTCCTCCAGATTGAACCAAAACTGGAAATCCAGGAACACAGAACATTTTTCTAAAACAGTTTAATAAAAAAATTGTGACGTTCCTTGAAAACTTGGAGAAACCCAAAGCATATTGTGTGTGTGTCACCTGTCTTAGTCACAAAGAAACACAATTGTCAAAAAAGATATTTAAGTTTAATACAAATTTTATACAAAGAAAATGTGAAAAAATACTTCCATATGCTAAAAGCAATTATGCTTCACAAATAAGGCCAGCTAGGCTAGTTTTGACACAACTGCAATTAATGAATATTCTGTTCTCACTTTTTTTTTTCCTTCTAATACTTTTTCCCTCTAATCTGGGTACTAGCTGGAGACTGTACAAACCGCATTCTTATATAAACAATGGCAGAAATCAACATGACTAAAATGTACAACAGAATGTACTGGAATGATATCATACAATTAATTTTCTCATATACATACATCACCTTTGCTTTGTTCAATGCCTTTGTTTTACACAACATACAAAATGGGACTACAGCCTCAGTGTAACAGACAGCATCTCCAGGGGGTACTTCCTCTCATACTGCACTGCTTCATGCTTACAGAAAAACAGAAAATCCATCATATAAATAACACATGCTCTGGCCCAGCATCAAAAGTCCTTTGCCCATGTTTCCCGCTCCGTGTTTTTCTCCACACCTAGTTCTTGTTCCAAGTCCTTTGGGAGGATTTTTAAAAAGTAAGAAAACTGTGAAGCATAGCAACAAACTTTACTTGCCTCAGTCTTTGATATCAGTAATCAGAAATCCTGTTAAAACCAGCTGCTATTATATTTTGCAAATTTTCTGATCTTAGACTGAATGAAATTTTAAAATAATTTTAACCTGTAAACAACATTTATATATGTTGTCAGCCTGGTCATTGTGAAAAACAGTATAAATTTTTATGGATTTCAGGTCTACATAATTTGCCTAACAGAGTTAACTGAAAAGAGATATCCTTCATCACTTGGCTGTTAAGAGAAATTCCACAAGAGTTTAAAAGTGCAGAAATTTTTTTCACTCCAAATGCCAAAAGTTGTTCAGATTTTCCATATTAGATTATTTGATGCAGTTTCCCAAGACCAGTTTTCAGCATTAGGTTGTGGTAAGGCTGTTTAAAACCTTCCTTTTCCAACTTCAAACACTCTTTATAAGTTAAAGTCAATACAAATATAAAAACGAGATGGTACTCTAATGACATCCACAAATTGTACATTATTTACAAAAGAAGCATAGTTTTAATATGGATCTTACCTGTCCTCAGCTTTTCTAAGCCAGTACTAATGCTTTACATTAATGTAGTGTAATTAATGCTTTGTACACATACACAAAGCTAAAGTCTGAACCTCTGAGGTTAATCCAAAGAACTGTGTTTATCTGTCACATTTCTATTAATTTATTCCAACAATTGTATGAACTTCTTGTTAGCAGTTAGACTCTTCGTACTTGGACTGGCATTGTGGTCTGAACATACTGAATTCCAGTTCTCATTGCCACTGTCCCAGCAGAAGGACTTACCACTACAGGAATGGTCTGTGGATTAAAACCAAGAGAAACACATTGTTATGTTGAAGGTCACATAAACATGACCACAGAAATAGAGATTTGTTTTCCAGGGGGAATCCAGAACAAGTTCTAATTTTGTGCAAGAACTAATACCTTTATTACCACAGTATTACCTCATTCCAGGGGAGGAGTAGTGCTTTACTTCCCTATAGCCAAGAGTTTCTGTGTTCTTAAAACTGCTATGGAATTACAGGGACAGGAGGTGCTATAGGGGCTGCACACACTGCCTGTGCTTGGAGGGTGAGGGTTTCAGAGTTACATCCAGTTATGTATTTTCTGCAAACTAATACATGGGAAGAGGAAAAAGGACTAAGAAAATCCTTTGTCATTTGAAAAACTTCTGACAAATCAAACTGGAGTACAAAAATACCCTTGTTTATAAGTATATTCTTGTTACACATTACTTAAATCTTTTTCCCCAAAAGGAACTTTTCCCCCATGCATTCAGTCTACACAGAAGAGAACAAAGAACATCCATTTGAACAAAAAAAAGTACTTAAGTTAACTTCTGCACAAATCAATAGCAAAAACATCAGCATTACTGGGAACTGTCTTACACACCCTGTAAAAATATTAATATAGAATAAACTTTACACTTCCATCATACTGATCATGATTTATACATCTCAACAAATGGAGTTTCAGGACATCTCTATAGGTGGTAATTGATTCTACAGATGCAGAGACAAAGGCACAAGAATGTTAAACAATCTGGTCAAGGTCACATCACTCTGGAGATCTGTAAGAGGATTTATTGAACCTAAAGTCTGTATCTTAACCTTCCTCCAAAAACATGAGAAAGTCTAGAAATGTCTCTACCATACAAACTGCAAGGTGTGTTCCAGTACAGTTCCAGTGATGCACAACTGGTGATCAGACAAACGCATCCATTTCAGTTCACAACATCTTGTGGAAGAAACAGGGAGTGAGATTTTGAGGAACCTGAAAGGGATGCACAGATCTTCCCCCAATGGTAGTGTGACATTCCAGAGAGGACATGGAAGAACAAATACAAGTTCACTGAAGCCCAATGTTTCCCCACACTGATTCAAGAAACCAAATGAGTGTCTTAATGATATTCCACAAAGACTCTGAGTATCCCTGCTGAGATGGATTACAGCTCCTTTGTGACTGAGTCTGTGCCTTCCAGAAGCCTACTCATTCCATTCCCTGGAATGCAAAGAAGATGGGTTCATATTTTTACATTATTTTAACTGCAGGAAGAATAAAAAACAAACATGGAACCAATTTGCTAAATAAATTCAGGATTGCTGCCGCTTTGTAATGATTTCAGATGTGTTTACAAGGTT